TTGCTCACTGAATACCTTAAGATAGGCTCCGAGAATTAAAGCCGAATTGATGCCTTGGTTCTTTGTAAATCTCAAACTTCCCACTTCATTGGACTTACTTGTCCATTATATTACGGTGTAACAGAGCGATAAACCTAGGTTGATATCATATAACAATGGAATAAGCTGCCTTCCAGAGCAACAAAGTATGTGAACTCAAAGATACATTTTACTATACTACCCACGATTTCGCTAAGTAGCGGTTACCACCATCTTCAAGGTACAGAAGTTTGATCTTAGTTTGTCTCCTGGTATCGCCACATTCTCAATTGTTTTTCGAAATCGCGCCACTCTTTGAACCGCTTGTTTTCCCCTACCCTGTACTGATACCACTCTTCCCGAAAATGCTGAGATATTTTCCACAACCTTCTTCGATTCCTCATCGAGTCCGTGCGGTAATTGGTGCGGAAGAACTCCACCAGAGGAAACTCGGCATTGAAAATCGCCGACACGTCGATGGGGCTTGAGTTTGCAGATTCGGCTTGAGATGGTTTCGAGTCATTGCACGCGGTACAGAACCTGTTGACCTCTCCTTCCACAGTTGATACGGGCAGAATCCAATGAAAGTCATCGAGACGACGGCGAAGACGGGTTCGTAGTAGCCGAGAAAGGAAGAATGGACTTCCAAAGTGATGGCGCAGGGATTTACACGTAGATGTAAAAGAGAGGATGCTATCAATCGGTATATTCAGGAGGATTTCGAAAATGACTTCATCTGGAAGGACGCCCAAAGGACCAGTAATTGTAGTTCCGCTGGATACTGGGGAATAGGTGGATGAGGGGGCGAATAGGTCCGCCTTAACCCATCTGTACTGTATCTTAGCGAGTATATAAACTCGAGAGTGTACATCCATACCTATCAGGTGGACATGTTTGCCAGACGTTGAAATCGTTGAGTAAGGCCGGGATCAAGTCGTTTCCCCTCGTACCGGCTTCTAGAGCTCTACCTAGTTCGGAAGCTCTCCCGAATCCAGTAGAGAAATGGTCGTGAAATTGCTCAAGGCATCGCTCTATGCCTCCATACGATATACCGGACAATATTCCGGAGTCATCCCCTGCTGATGCGTTAGTGTCTAAAGTAATCCAGAGCATGCCGATTCCAACTTACGACTACCAGCGTCCCAGAAACGCACAATCTCGTAAAATTCGCTTTCGAAGCTCATATCAGGTTCGAGTGGAAAGGCGGTCTGCCGAGGAGGGAGACTATCTCTGTCGACCCAGTATCGAAGATAGTGATAAGGTGTCCGAAGACAAAACATGCCTCCGCTGTCTACACCAGCCTCCGTTTGGATCATGCCGGTTTGGCCTTCAATTCCCTCGAACAATCCACCACAGCCAGAAGGGTAGCACACAAGGCGAGTTATGACTGCCTATTTTGGATCAGAAAATGAGATATCAGCGAAGAATCTACTCACATATCCTGGTGAGAGTGTACTAATGCCATCTGGATCGGAAAAAGAGTCGTCAAACACTCCGATTGCGATCGCTTTCCACCCATCCCACTCCTCAGAGGGGAATGGGAAGTAAGACACTGAGGATATAGAGCCACTTTTAACGGCCTCTTCATATGGTGTAGGTATCTCATAGTCGTCGAACTGAAAAAGGAGAAGAATCCTCCTAAGCTCGTCGCGTAGTTGGTCTTGACTGATATCCAGGGAAAGCCCTTGTTTTTCAAGACTTTCCATGATCGCATCTAGACAATGTTCTAGGCCTCCGTCTGCGAACATTGACCCGGGTCCTCCACCTAGGCTCAGGCCACAAATGAGACACAACTCGTCCCATAGTCCCATAGTAGCGTTGACGAACTAATGAGATAATAAGGAGCGTTACTGGATGAAGTGAGATCTAGCTGATATTGTGGGACAATGAAGTATGTAAACGCACCCAACTCCACTGCTGAAGGGACTGATTAGAGGAACGTGCGGGGTCTCGTTCATCATCCACTTAAATACCCCCTACACCCGCTTCCTCGTGTTTCTAGGATTTGAGATGGGGATTCAATACCTAAATGCCGGTGGCTTAGAAATAGTCCGACAGCGGGGGAAGTAACTTTGCTTTGCCACTGTCACCATCTGGTCGAATGCATTGCCGCGGAATTTTAATCGAGGTTATATAACTAATTACTATATTTTCTCTCCCGAGATGAGAGGTGAGTACATGTGGCAAACATTTCTGTTCTGTCGCGCGGCCGGGAACTTGTGAACACGCGATAGCCGACACTCTAATTGTAACTACATTATGTTCATATTGAATAGTTGCCACACCCCAGCGTACGTGGAAAGAAATGCCCCTGCTAGGGAGTTCGAATGCCACAATCCCG